GTTTTCAGTGTTATAGAGTTTAAATTTATGTTCAAATATGCTCTCATATGACTATAAAACTCTTCTTGATTGTACAGCACACTTTCTTCTCTTCCTACAAAACATGTGTTTTCCATTTCCATTCCAACTTTTATTCTTCCCCCGCCTCTCAGATGACAAAAACAAAGTTAAATATGTTAGATAGCAGAGGGTACAGCTGTTTGCAGGACTCTCTCTCTTTCTAAAGTGCTGGATTGATCAGCAATTTTGTTTGTAAAAACCTAAGACGTGCCCATTTAAATTTCCTAATATATCCCAAATAGTACAAGTTTATATAAATTATAAATTATGCATTTTATGTTGTTAAAAGCAGTAAAATAAGCTTACACTTCATAAAAAGCATTGCATATATTTCAGTTCCCCCCCAAAAAAATATCTCCTGCTTTCCAAGGCTTTGCCACTAGCCGCATAAGCCTGCTTATGTGATAAGAGCAGGTGAAAGGCATTCAAAATGGGCAGTGCACCCTAGGCATAGCAAGGAAACCATATAGCGATTATGAGAGGCCAAATCAGTAACTGTCTGGGTGCTCCCATGGATCAGGGGAGATGAATGAGGAAAGGAGGATGGATGGAAAGAAGACTATTAGGAGACCTTGGGCTCTGCTGGGACTGGAGGAGGAAAAGCAGAGAACTCACATCATTGCAGCAGCAGAGGTTTTCTTGTTTGACCCTCTTTGGGTGGCTTCACACACTGCAAAGTCCCCATGGCTGCCATGAGGGCTTAGGATCATATGTTCTCCCAGGAAGTGATGTAGAGGTGCAAAGGATGCCAACAGATGCTAAGAGCAGGGAATCCCAGGCAGGGGGTCCTCCAGCCCCATTGGGGGAATACTTCCCAGGCATGCACAAGCCCACTATGTATTGGTACTGTGGCCCATGTGGAGATGGGACTTCAGCCTTTCAGAGGCCCTGGTCATATGGGCCGGAAAATGCGGGGGGGAGCGTGGCTGTTTGCCCCGGAGGAAAATAACGCGCGGTTGCGCGATCAGACGTCCCTTGGAGGTCCCGTGGTTAGAGGGCAGGTGCCGATCACATGATGATCCTGCAGCACGGCAAAGAAGCTGTGCGGCACGATCACACCAGCAATCGCTAGGCACCGCTTCCGTGGCAAACGGGATGGATTTTTTTTTAAAACTGAAGTTTGTGCATACGCATGACTGAGCAATCGTATCTTCACATCCAAAGGCGGGTGGTGGGCTTACCGGAGAGGGCGACAGACGCTTCCAGACCCCAACAGAGCTCCGAGGCATAGGCAATGGAGTGGGAGGTGGGCCCCCTCGTCACAGTCGCTCTAACCGCCTGCATGACAGTGGCCATAGCAACCCTCCAGAGGCGGCAAGCCTGGCTGCAGTGGGAGGGGGCCTCTTTGTGCGCATGCACCGTTGGGCGCTTGTGCGCATCCTGTGGAGACTTGGGGGAAAAAACCTGTTCGCGATGGGACATGGGCGGGTGCCGGATGCCATGGGATTCCACCGGAAACGCGATCAGGCGCCCGCCCTTGCCCCGCGGTTTCCGGAAACTAGTACCTCAGAGGTACTAGTGGCTAATGTTCTGTGTGACCGCAGCCAGGGTATGCCATTTTTCTGACATGAAATGGCCCCAGGGAATCACTATTTGTTCTGCTGGGGAACTTATGTGTAATGATGGCTATAGGTAGGTTTACCCAGTGAGGCAAGCAGCTGTTCCCCAAAACTGTTAAATGTCAAGCAAATGGTGTGTGTGTGTGTGTGTGAGAGAGAGAGAGAGAGAGCACTGAAGCCCCATCACTGTAACTGGGAAGCACAGAACTCCCACTGCACAGATATGATCCAAAGTCCTCATGGCAGCCGCAAAGACTTTGTAAGAGCCTTCTAGCCTCAGCAACTCAGGATCTGAGAAAACAGATTTGGGGATACCTCAAATATCTTTTCACCTACAGACTTCCAACTACTTGCATTTAAAATGCAAAATGAAGGATATACTGAAGAAATGTGAATCTTGTTTGAATACCAATAATTCAAGAAATAAATTAATGTAAACTGGATGGTATTTACAATATTTTAAAGTTCTGTAATGATTGTGTTAAATGCTGTATGAGAATGTAATCTTTCTAGAATTTTTGCTAATGTATTTTTTTGGGAATTATTATCCACAAATAGGGTTGCCGATCTCCAGGTAATCAGTAAAACAGTAAATCATCGTGTACAATTAAACAATATTTGTTGGGTTTTATATGCAATGTTTAGAATTCAATTATTAACAAAATTACAACAATAACACTACAATATGTGATATAAAGCTTAGCAGTACATACAGAGTAATACAGTACTAGTTACAGACAAACGATGGAGTTCTAGTACACTATCCGTTTGCGTGTCCTTTGTCAGGTTTGTCATTCTGTAATTATTTCTTCATTCGAATGAAGTGCTCTTCCCTCCCTCCCTCCTGTGCAGTATTTTCCCCTCTGTCTTCTTTCTTGCTGAGCAGCCCCTTTATCTATTTTATTCCTATTTGTCTGTGGCTGTCCTAACCAGTCACTTTAGAGATACAGAGATATAGAGATTGATATATGAATATAGATGCTGGCCCAGCCCAGGGAACTGAGGGAAGAGACAAAATCACCTTCTTATATTCTGCTTTTAAAATGGCACATAAGAGGCTTTTGAAAGTTCAAAATAAACATTTTATTTAACTTGCAGGAGAAAAGGTCAGGTGGATCAGGGGTAAAATGTATTAGGTGAACAGATAATAAAACTGAGGTAACTTTGTATTCACATAAACACCCAATAATTTGTTGCCAACAAGTAAGTGTTTCTGCTATTCAACAAGGTCTTTAAAACATTTGAGGAGAGAGGCTTTCTTTTCGGTTTCTGCTTAAACACTCAAGCAGAGGTTTCTAAGTTTCACCAACATGTGAAGTTTAGAAGGCAAGAACATAGAACCACATTCCCAAAATCCTTCTTTCTACACGGACCAGGGATCAATCCTCTTTTCCATAAGCTATTTCCCTTCTTAACTGGGCAGGGATCACTGCTGTTTGGCTTGAATGAGGATCGCCTTCAATCCACTCACTACCTTGATCTCTTAACCTCCTTTCCAGTCCACAGTCAGTGCTTAACAGTCTCTTCTTCAACTGTCAGTCCCCAACTGTCATTCCTTAACTGACTCAACAGAATTCTGTTCAAACAGTCTCTCACTCAAAGGTTCTCAGACTCTGTTAGGCACTAACCCTTGACAGTCTGTCACAGCAAGGAAAGAACAAGGGGCAATAATCTGTTCAAGAAGAAGATATAGCATAATTCTGCAAACCCGTGACTTCATGGTAGAAGAACTGCTTTCCACACAGAAGGTAATCCCAAGCATCTCGTTAAAAGGACAGCGCAGTGGAACATCTTGGTCTGAGATCCTGGAGACCCCACTGCCACTCAGAGTAGAAAATATTCACCTTGATAGAGCAACAGTATATGGCAGTTTCATGTGGTAATGAGTTTCTCAATAACAGAAATATGGAGATAGGAAGGAGGATTTGGATGGAAGTGCTGTGACTCTTTAGAATAAGGTGAATGGGATTTTATAATAGAGGACAACTGTCTACAAAGCTGCATAAAGAATATTAATTCACATAACCAAACAGTGTCCCAGTGTAAATGAAAAGGTCTGTGCAGTCTAGGCTAAGATGAAAAAATGGAATGAGTGCTTCATCAGGGCCGCTTGCAACTGCACCCACATTTACTGGGCTCTTGCCCAATTTTGGCTGATTTGTGGTAGCACAGGAGGCTGAGTAGGACATATAGTTGAAGAAGTCATTCACTGTGTGTTCAAGACCACATGATCCACTCAGCCTCAAAGTCTGGATATCTCAGTGCGGGTATATGAATTGACACCTTAAATTAAATGCAGAATGTACAGTTACTTAGAGTGGGTATTATGCCATGGCTGTGGGTAGACACCAGCACAGCATAGATGTTAAGAATTGACTTCTTACAAATGTTTTGGATTTAGAAGGTAGGAAAGCTTTGAGATTCTTTGGGTTGCATCATGCATTATTTTGTTGTGGAAAGTACTTTCATGTAGAAAATGCATGCAACCTCCACATATTATACCTGACCATTCCACAATCTGTGCTATGGATATAGTACTGATTTTACCATGGACGATTATTAATGCACATGATTTTTTTTTTAAAGTAAGTTGATGGTTGTTTGAATTTTTGGTACTGTCTGGTATTTTAATTGTATTATTGAAACTTTTGTCATATTTTTGTAGCTGCCTTAGTTGACTATTGGCAAAGTGAGAAGATACAAATATTTTAGATGCTTTAAAATAAAATAAAATACAGGACACACACATGCAGTAAATTGCCATGTATAGCTATCAGTCTACATGTACACTTCATCATTTTCCTCTCACAACACAGTGCTTTCCCTGTTTGTTTGTTTGTTTGTTTAATGCTTAAGGTATTACTTGGGTTCCCAAGTTCTTGGGTTGTGAGGACATGCACTGGGAGCAACTGCACGAATGACCACTCTTCTTTTGAGCACGGCGAGGAAGTTGGTCTCCTGAACACCCTACACACTTTCAAAAATTCAGGCTGGGTGTTGGAAGCCGCTGTTGTCCTCTCCTTGCAAGCCCTTTCCCTCAGCCCCAGATGTTCAACTAGGCAGAAGGCGCTCTCTTCTTTTTGACGTGATATATGTTCCATCAAGGTCGAGCCGGCTCAACTTCAGCCCCAGGCCCTTCTCCTTATCGGGCGACGGTGCGTCTCCTCAACAGATGAAAGGAGTGAGGCGGCCGCCCCGACTCTCTCCGCAAGGCCAGGCCGGGAAGACAGGAAGGGTGGCTTGAGTGAAGCGTCGCTGGGCGGGCCAGCAGCCGCGAGAGGCGGGCTAGAGGCCTCGCCAGCCCCAATCCCCGCCCCAGCTCCGTGAAATAAGAGAGCCGGGAGGGGCTGCCAAACCTCTCTCGCTCGCTCGCCCGCCCGCTCGCTCTCTTTCGCCGCCGCCGCCGCTGCCGCCGCCTCAGCGTCGCTGTCGGCCCGAACGCGGCCCGCAGGCCCCGGGCATCCTGGACAGCAGGTAGGGCAGCGCGAGGCGATGCTGCGGCTCAAAGCTGTGGGTTGGGCTCGGGAAGGCCGCGACAGGCGGATGCGCAGAGCGGGGCGCAGGGAGGACTCCAGCCGCTGCAGAAGGGGGAGGGGGCACCCGAGGATGGTTGAGTTGCAGTGCATCATGTGCATGTCTCTGCGCGCAAGGGAAGTGCGTGCATGTAAACAGACGGGGTGTACGTTGGCCTGACACTCCATCCGTGAGGGTGGAAGGGAACCTCGCTGTGAGCTTCAGAGGGATATACCTTTTATTTCGTGCGTGGCTGCATGGACCACGTTTAGACGCTCAAGCTAGTTGCAGTTCTTTGTGTCTATAAATACACGCATGTATATTTCGATATGCATGTCTGCATAAGATCCATAACAACATACAGTGAACGTGCCCATTAAGCTACATAGAGATGTGTGTGTGTGCATTTCATTATGCATATATAAGATGCTTGTGTCTATTGTTAAGTTTTGCATGATACAAGATATACATACACCATGTGGAAATATAGTTGCAGAAATGTCATTGCTTTGTAATGCATAGTTGAACACCTCTTTATTTTAGTGCTGCTTGTTTGCTATATTATGTTTAGTGTTGGTAACCTATATGGTAGTATGGAGTATTCCTGCAGTGACAGAAAACTGAAAATAGCCTTATCCCTGTATATAGCATTAGGCTCTCACAGTTAAATAATTTGGCACATTCTTGCATCACACAGAAAGAAGTAGCAAAACAGTCAATCTAAACAATGTTTTGTTTATTTGTTTTGCAAATGAATTACAGAAATCTGGAGTCTTTCTAGTGATCTGCTGCTGTGTAGCCTATGCCTGGTAAATGACTCGCCTCTCTGTCGTCAGTCAGCTAGAGTATTAAAGGTGTGCCAAGGAATAGTGCTGAAGTGTAGTTTGTGTGAGTGCATCGAGGACTCTCCGTGGTGCTGCTGCCCTGGCTCCTTGTCCATATAAGGAAGTAGCACTATGGAGAGCTCTTGGCAGCCTCTGATTCTTCTGCCCAACCAGCCTGGGATCGCTTTCTCGCCCTGCATGTATGGAGCCTGCTCTCTTCACCTAGTTCTCTTGTATACATCCCAGCAACATTCCCCTTCTTTTATGTGCATCTGAGTAAGATCTGCACAATGATGAGGCATGGCAGAGCGATGGAATTTTGTGGCTGGAAGAAAGTGCAGATGGTGTTTAGATTTTGAAAATGAGGAGCTCTGATCCCTTCAAGCAATATTATTATGCCTAGGATTGCTCAAGTACTAAACTTTTCAGATTATATTATTGAATATATTCAATAAAGGCAGCATGTTGAATTAATACCAATCTGTGTACACACTTTTATCTGATTTCTAATGGATTAGAAGTAAAGTATTTCTACATCATGGCCCACATGCAAAATACTGACTTCCTTTTTGCTCCTGTTGTCAGAGGTGGTTTTCTAAAGATGGTCAAATCCAGGGCCTGATCCCAACATATATTTTTAATACATTTATGACAATGGTATGCCCTGTAAAGCAGTCTTCTATGACACACAGTCTCTTAAATTTACGTATCATAGTGTTTATATAGAAAGGGGTATGCCAGTGTGATAAACAGTAACCGATTTTCTAGATTACATATAAGGCATATTGGGATAAGCTTGTATATTGTCAGAAAGGCAGTCTGAGTTTCTACTAGAAAAAGCTAACACAAACAAACAGGAAAGGCAGTTTCCCCACTCTGTGTGCCTACTTATTAACAATATATCTTTTGTTATAGAAGTCAGGGTTTCTAGGTGAGATGTGTAACACAGTATGTGAGGAAATTATTTCTGTATATATAAATGCACATAAAATCTCCTAACCAGACATATGAGTGTGGTTCTGAATGGCAAATCCCACAAAGGGCAAGAATATGCATATATTACGTAAATGCTGTCAGCCATTGGATTTGAATACAGCAGTATACTGCAAACATAAAGATTAGGAAACATCTGTTGCTAGGGAAAGCAATGGCTGGAGTCAGATACCAGAGGGTGGGATTTGATTATTCAAAATGAACAAGTCTTAATAATCACCTGCTTTTTAAAAAAAAAATCTGTTTTGTGTGTATTCTACATGACTAGTGGATTTCTCTTATTAACATTAGTATTTTTGTAAGCCTAAGAGATCTGTGTTTGTCCTAGGGCAGTGTGTACAAGTTTCAGTGTACAGAGGATGTTGTCTGATGTAAACTTCGTCTCCATGAACAAGGAATTCCAGGGTGTTTCAGGCCCATCTTTTCTCTTGGCTATCTGGAATCATTCATAGGTTACAGTGTTTCTTTGCTATTCTTTGAGACTTTGGTTTTCCAAATATATTCCACATCATTACAGGTTATCAGGGATTCTGCCATGAGAAGATTGATAAAGACAGAAAAATTGGTCTCCGTGCAACTTTCTCAGGGTCTTAAAGAGTCAGTGTCCTCAAACACAGTGATTGCCCTGCTTACCACTGGCTCTGCACTGTTGTTGCTGACAGCATAGCCAGGCTGGGGGGAGGTGCTGGAGGGGGGCATGATGGGGCAGTTGATAGCTGGTGACATTTCAGTCTCTTGTTTGCCCTGATTATCCATGCCCTATAAATGCCTTGCGAGAGAGTCCATAGGCAAGACAACTATTTCAGTTGAATAGGCTCTAACACAGGGAGGCAAAAGTGTTGCTTTTACCTTGGTACTGCTTTCCATAGACGTTATGGATGTTATATGCTTTTACCTTGGTACTGCTTTCCATAGATGTTATGGATAGCCTTTCTGCCCCTGTCCTCAGCCACCTACCAACATGAGCTATCTTTCACACATGTACATTCTGCTCAAAAATATGTATGTTTATGCACATGCAAAACTTAATTTCTTTATGGTTTACACGCATACACAAATAGGTAATGGGCTCACACAAAAATATCACCTCTTTGTTCTTCCGTACAAACCTGTGTAACAAATATGAAACCAAACACCGTACGCTACTCATAATTCTTGCATCCCACCAACCCCATTTATTCATTTGGCTGTTGTTCCCTTTAGGCAAACTATAATGGCAACTTTGAGTCGTGCTTTTAGGAGAAAGGCAGAAGTGTTTTAACAAAAATAATGCTAAAAAAATCACTATACGCTTTAAAAAAATGTTTGAACATTTTAATGAGGAAAGGTTTGGTGAAAGTATCCTTCTGGTGTTCTTGCTGCCTTTATGGAATGCTGGTTGATATGAAAAATAAACATTAAAGCTGGTTAGATGTAAAAACAGATGTATGCCCACATTTGTCTGTTGTTGTGCCAAATTTTTATATAGAAGGGCAAATCTGTGCATCACACTGAAAGCCAGCATATATCTGTGCTTTCAACTAAAATGAACAAATATAAAAATCATTAATAGGGTAAGGGGTCCCACAGCAGAAAAAAGTGATATATCAAGCTTCCCTAAGGCATGAATTATGCGTGATGTAGGCCAAGAAGGAAGTGCAAGATGTGCCACCACTGTACTTATGCTGCAAATTATGGACCAGAACATCTGCAGCATGTATTTAAACATGACTGAGTAAGCTCTTTGCCTATGGCCCACATTGCATACAAATTGGGACTGAATTTTTTTAAAAAAATCTGAAAAGTGATGCCGTATCTCTGGATCAGATAGATTAAGCAGGGGTTCCTGATCCTGCCAGAGTTTGTTGGTTCTGCTTCTGCTCTGTGGTGTGTCTTACGAATGTATGAACAAATCTTATTGACAGTTTGCTTTATCATAATGTATGAGACCTTCAGAGTACATCCTGCCCTACAAATTTTAGCCTTGTTTATGAAAAATTATGTGAGTGTGTATATGTTTATTTTAACATGCACTCTGTCCTTTGCCTTTGAAAAAACTTTACAAGGCTGTTTGTAAATGGAATGAAGATTATCTCCTGGTTCTTTCACCTCTGTTCAATTTCATTTTTGGGGAGAACTACCAACTTTTGATTCTGTATGCACAGCCACTAATGCAGATTAGGACCTTCATTCTACTATAAGAAACTGGGAGAACTAACTTCAGCCTCTCTTAATTAGGACTGTAAACTTTATGAAAAAGTAACTAATCTGTGCTGTGATGTTGATAAAGTTCCTTTAGCATTTATTAGTGTTCTTAATGTTGTTCTTCTTGTTGATAAGTTTCCATTCATGGCCTACTTTTTTGTTTCATTTCGCATATCCCCAGTAATGGTTATTGGCCCTCTTCTGTGGTTCTGGTGTTGTTTGTTGTATGTATTTTTATTGACTTAATTAATTTTGTTTTTAATTGCGCTAATGTTTTTATTGTGTTGCATTGGGGACCCTGATCAGATGAAAAGTTGGCATAAAATGTTTTAAATAAGTAAATTGATACTTCAGCTGTAATGTCAGCTGACCTTGAGATGTGCTGTTTGCCCCCAGCTTTTTTGTTTGAAGCTATACTTTGGCTTTTTTTTTTTTTGCAGGACAGGTGTCATCTGATTTCTTACCTAATTATTTCTGACTATCTCTTGATTCTCCCTGGTCCTATACTTGGCATTTAGAGTTATTGCATTGAATTCAGTTCTTTTTATTATTACTTTGGTAACATTTCCAGTTGTATATATCATTTAAATAAAAATCTGAAAACTTTATAAAAAATCTTTAAGTTAATCTTAAAAGAGAACTTCCACTTTAAGACTGACCATTGTGTTAATGCTACAGACTAATGCGGCTTGGCACAACTGGTCTAAGAAAGTTATCTCCTAATGGCTTTACTGATTCTCTCAAGCTGGCTATAACAGTGCTTATAAAATTAGCTTAAATGAGACTAGAGCCTTCTGCCCACAATAACTTTATTGGGTTTGTTGCAAGGACCATTTTAGTGATGGATTTCAGCTGTGCTGCCCATGTGTGCTGTGCTTCTAGTCCCATAAAGAAGACCAATTGCATTATTAGTATAAAATATGCATGTTTATGATGACACATGTTAAAATACTTTTTCAGGATTTTCCTTACCTGTCTCTGCTTCTCATTGCATTGTGTGGATTGTAGCTTTTTAAAAATATTTTTAGTTTCGATGTGAGGTGTGTCACTTTTTGCAACTGCCTAAAAAGCCTTTGTATATTCTTTACTGATATGCAATTTTTACCTTTAATGAATCAGTAAACTTCTATTATAAAAGCGGAAAATGATATACTCCAATTTATATACATAACCTGATATTTTACCTCCTTTTTTGGAATCCTAATTCTAAATGTAATTTCTAAAAAAAATCAGTCAATTTCTTTGCTTTCTCAACTAGGGTTGCCAGGTCTTACTTGTTTGCCGGTGGGGGACTCCTGGCTTGGTCACAGGGTCTTCTGGCACCTGCGCAAAGTGTGCACACCGCAATGACATCACACAGAAGTGACGTCATTGCACTGGGCATGTAGTACAGGGGATGCTCTAGCATTTGGCTAAAAACTTCATGGTCACCATAGAGTTTTTAGTCAAATGCTAAAGTGTCCCCTGTGCGATGTGCCTGGCATGGTGGGGGTCTTCAGGGGTGGGGCTTCCTCATTGGCCAGCTGGCTGGCAGTGGCTTGGGACCCCTGAAATGGGAAAACCGCCATCCCCATCAGGGGGTTGGCAACCCTATGTGAAACAAACTACAAAATGATTGATTCAGGTGGGTAGCCATGTTGATCTGAAGCACCAGTACAAAGTTTGAGTCCAGTGGCACCTTTAAGACCAACAAAGTTTTATTCTGGGTATAAGCTTTTGTGTGCACATGCACATGAAAGCTTATACCCAGAATAAATCTTTGTTGGTCTTAAAGGTGCCACTGAACTCAAACTTTGTTCTACAAAATGACTGGAAAGTGTTTTGAATGTTGTTTCCCCCCCCCCCAGATTGTTTTTGATCTCAGTACAGTGGATTCAGTGTTGATATAATATTTAGCACTTATGTAGTGCTTTCAGCATTCAAAGAGCCTCACATACATTATTTCAGTAATCCTTACTGTAAGATATGAGACCAGTATTTTCTCCATATTAAAGAGAGGTGAAAGCCAAGAATGGTTTTCTTAAGACACCTAGTGAGTTTGTGGTTCAGGTGAAATGGAGTCACGACTCTACATTTTACAAGACGTGAAATGTCTTCCCAGTAATGTGGCCCATTTACTCTATTTTTTTCAGAAAGTGGATAGATTAAGTCCATATTCATGATTTGGTTGTGGCTGGACTCTTTTTCAGAGCCTTCCACCGTAAATGCAAATGAAGGTGACTGTATTGTCAACCTACTTGTAGAGGATTTTGTGAGGATGTACTGTCTTTGTGGCCATTCTCAGCCAAACATGAAAAGGATTGTATGTTCTGGTCCATGGATAGATGGACTAATCTAACCTCCACTAAAAGTAGAAAAAAATAGAAGAGTTGAATTAAATTCCTAGTAGGATTGTGCTCTTGGAATCTCATTTGTTCCAGTGAAACTTGAACAGGAGATGTACAAGGTCAGTTCAGGTTCAGTGGAAACTGTTTGCACTAAACACTATGTGGAAGCAAGCTGTAGTGGCTGTCTGCAAAACTAACCCCCACCCCTCTCAAAAACCTAATTATTTAGCCAGTCTTCAAAAAAAATTCAGAGATATGCCAGTTTATCAGAAAGTAAGAAAAAACTCAGAAGAAAGTCTCTGAAAATGGAAAATTTATACCCATGGGGAGATATTGAATGAGTAGCAAAAGACTGGCAATAGTGTAAGGGTGAGTGCAGGTTAGATTATATACTGCTTAGGGCAGGACAGTGTAACATTCTGGGTTGGAGGGGTTGTTGGTGATTTGTATGACTACCACATCTATTTCCCTTCTGAGGTGGACTGACTGTTCATGTCAGTCTTGTTGTATGGCATGAACCTGTAAATGCATTTATAAATTCTTGCAGTTGAGTATGTGATGGGTATGCGAGAACCAAGTTACTTTTGACTTTCTCATGAGCCAGCCTACCTTGTCGCAGGCATGTAAAACTGAAAGTTCCTGAAGTGGTTCCTGGTTCTTATATATTTCAGACATTAAAGGCTGGCTTAAACAGGGTGATTCCTCTCATCTGTTAGTGTGACTCCATTCCTAGGAAGGATCTGTGGATGGAATTCACCCTACTATTGTATGAAATTTGCACTGGTGCACTGTTCTGTGACTGTTGCCTTCATAATTCCTTGTATAATGAGAAGTCACTACTTTTTCTGTTTTATGAATAGGAAACTGTGCCCATGACATAAATGACTTGTTCAAGGCTACACTATGAGTGTTATGGGTCTTGAATTCAAGCCTAACTGTATGTCCATTAGAACACATTATTTTACTCTGGCCAAGACATCATCTGCTTCAGAAGATCTTAAACTATCAGACCTCAGGGTCTGATAGTTGGAAAGCAAAATCCAAGAGAAACTGTAATATATCTTTCTGTGTATTTATATTGCACTAATAAAGCTTGTTTTTGTATTTCCAGGCTAGCAGACTCAAATTTAAAATGGAAGTTGACATTAATGGAGAGTCCAGGTCTATCTTAGCTACTCTCCCTCTGTCTATTGCTGAGGTGGGTGCCTCAGGCAAGGTAGACTCAGAAAAACCTCGTTGTTCCAGCACTCCATGTTCACCAATGCGGCAGACTGTTTCAGGCTATCAGATCCTCCACATGGATTCTAACTATTTGGTCGGTTTCACAACTGGGGAGGAGCTCTTGAAGTTAGCCCAGAAGTGCACTGTAGGTGAGGAGAACAAAGTTGAAGTGCTGCCTACCTTGCGCTCCAAACAGCTTGATTCAGGACTATCCCGTTCCTCACGGGTGTATAAAGCTAGAAGCAGATATTACCAGCCTTATGAAATCCCAGCCATCAATGGTCGGAGAAGGCGACGAATGCCTAGCTCAGGGGATAAATGCACCAAGCCACTACTTTATGAACCCTACAAGGCTTTTCATGGTCCTTTGCCTCTTTGCCTTTTCAAGGGTAAAAGGGCTCACTCTAAATCTCTAGACTACCTCAATTTAGATAGAATGAACATCAAGGAACCAGCTGACACAGAAGTGCTTCAGTATCAGCTCCAACACCTGACCCTAAGAGGGGACCGTATGTTTGCTAGGAACAGCACATGAAGATAAATTATCCTTGGTTCTTTGTTGCATCAGGATCCTCTGTACAATCTGGACAGACTTGCACATGGTACTTAGTTCCCATCAGCAGACCATAATTTAAATGCATAAGATTATGAAGATGGCGCAGAGGGGAAAAAGTCATATGGAAGGAACTACTGGACAATCCTGACTGCAGATGTCTTTAGAAGACTATAACAAAACAGAAGGTTTTGCACAAGGAAAACTGAGATCCATGGGGATGTAACAGAAATTGATGTACTGTGTGACTTGTTCTGAACTGGGCTTGCTGTAAGAAATTACTCATGGATAAGCACTGAAATACACTCTTAATTCTTAATGTTAAACATATGTATGTATGCAACAACTTTTTGCATTGTAGAAAAGAAAATGTTTGAATAGAACCACCTGTTCTTTAAAATAACCCAGTTTACATTACTTGTAACTGAATTTGCACTGGGAACGAAATGAATCACTGATGAAATTAAGCCTGAGAGCTTTGTACTTGTATTACTGGAGCTGACTTTTTAAAAGTGTATCTGGATTAGTTTTCATATTTCAAAGTGATTTCAATGTAAATTTAAAAAACTGTTTAAGAGAAAAATGAAAAATTACTTGGAAAGCAAACATTAATTGTTTGAAAAATTTAGTACCTTCATTTTTAAAAAAGTCTTAATTCCTGCCTTGAAACCTTTACCTTTTATGTGTATATATATCATGAAAGTCTGCAACTGAATCTGCAGAATATGAAAGGAATTTTAGATTCCAGTGCTACCATATTGCATAGTTATGACGATAGGTCTTACTAGACCACATTTTTAGCACTGTACTGGATTATTCCAGTTTATTTACAGCACTGAATACTACTTTTTAAATCTAGAGTGTGGGCTTTGATGAAAAAAAGCCTCAATCATTTCTATACTGGATTATAATTTATGTCAAATGCACTGGTTTAAATTGTTGTTTCAAGAAATCATCTCCAAACAAACCCTAATTTATCTATTCTAACTTCAGCATCTAAAATAATATGTAATTTTAAAATCTCTTTAAAACTTGCAGTTTGTTCCTGAAGCAGTGTGCAACCATGTTATGTTTTTGGTCCTTAATTACTTAGATGTGAAGGCTTAAAATGATTTTATTTGAAGGGGGGAGTGAGGGTTTAAATTATCTGTGAAGCCAATAATTTATTGATCATTCCTCGGAAAGTCTTGACTTTTCTGAATGGAAAGGCCGGGTGGTTTGTTTGTTTGTTTGTTTTTTAAGAAGGAATGCACATGCTTTGGGAATAATGTTTCTTACTTTTTCCCACTCACCATGTAGAATCTGTGGATAGTTTTTTTGTTTAAATTTAAGATGCTAGTAATTTTTACAGCAAGCTGCACCATTCTACTGTAGTGAGAAATGATTTCTTAAACTGCTTGACATAGCATTTAGCGTGACCTGAGGGATACTGTCCAATGCCAAAGAAAGGGGTTTTACACTTCATGATAAAACATTATTTATTGATTTACCCTTTGGAACGACACTGTTGGCTATGAAATAAAAGGGTGATGTGCATACCTCTATATGATTTTCTTGTGTTTTGCTGTTGTGCATGATGGATAGTGAATCCTGCTAAAGTGTAACATTTTGTAGGCTTCCTCAGAAATCCTATGGAACTTGAAGCAACCTTTTCTGTGATTGGCAGTGACACTTATTTCCTGATGCTGTAATTGAAGAAATTGTTACTAGCTGTATTTGTATACAACCCAGTTTGAACTGCAGTATGATCTCATACATGGGAAATATTGTATGAAGAGGGTAAGCAAACAACTTGCATATGCAAACTTGTTCTTCATATTCTGTTGATAACTGCCTCTGTGTGACCAACTCCTTGTCCATTCTTTTTTCCATACAGTCACTTCCCATGGGCTTTTAGAATTTCCTTTAACAATGAATTTTTAGCAGATCAGGTTCTTGTCATTTTGACTGTATGAAAGCTTAGGTGATCTCTGTGAAATCCATGGTTAGAAACTTGTTCTATTATTAGTTGGCTTTTTGAAACTGAGGACAAGAAAGAACCCTTTCTTATGTTGTTGGTTATTGAAATGGAGGCTGAATAATACTGCATTGTGAAAGCAAGATTTTGATGTGGAATTCTGAATTTAAAGCTTCTCTGTAGGTTGTGAATGATGTATTGGTATTGCAAAATAACCTTATTACACTTGTGTAAGAGAATCTGCTTACCCGAGAATTCTTGTTAACTAGTTATCAGTCCCAGTTCTCAGAAGTGGATCAGGACATATGATTTCTCAAGCTAAGGTTCACCATCAGCAGCCTCAAGTTGCAAGCCATCTGCCTGGCATGCCACCACTTTGAAATTTGGCTTGAAGGAGCTCATGTGATAATCCATGTAGAACACAGAGTAGTGTTGGCATATGTAAACATTCAAGTGATTCAAGCCCATGCCAGTCCACAGAGAAGCCAGTTCAGGGCTGGTAAACCTGTATACAGCAAGGGCAGAGATAACATTCAGGCCTGCTGGTGGAACAACCAGAGCCTGAATATGTGAATCTTCATCAGGAGGTATTCTGAACACTGGGCAGTTGCTGAAGATCAAAGATGCCACACAGCTTGCTTTGGAAACATTTGCCTTGGCAACTGCTACCTGTTCAAGATGTACAGGTAAGTAACAAATTACAAATCACTTATAACATTAAACTACTCAAGCAAATGAAGCTTTCACTGCCCAGCTGAAATCCATATTCTGACATATTTTAGCCCTGGATTCCCCATAGACTTGCTTATTTACAATATGCTTTGTATTTGAAAATCCCCCAAGGTAACATACAAACCAATAAAAAGCATTATAAAAATACAATTGTATTAAAATAATTAAAATATAGTAAAAATGGGTCTTAAACTTGTTTACCTTTGGACCCATTTTTGGCTCTGTCATTACACTTGATCAGTGCACATTTTTAATCAGGTTGAAAAGGGACAAAGTAGCTACCTCACTGTCTCCTTCCTTAGCTTTTTCTGATAAATTGTAACCTTACAACCAGACAGTCAGAGAGAGCATTTTGAATCTGTTGGGACCTGGCAGAACACTGACAGTCAGAGATGATGGGGGGGGGGCATACCAGATGTTACCCTTTCACTCATTCCCACTTTCAAGCAGCTGGTAGTTTATACAGCTAGAAACTTTGCTGTTACTGATGACAGGGGCTTCCATCTTGGAAATGCACAGCAACAAATATAACCAGAGTGCCAGAGGAAAGCTCCTTGCACTGGGGGAAAGTCTGCTGTTACCAGAGCAGATTCATGAGATCCAACCCATTCTTTCTGAGTTAGCAGAGGGCAATTGATTCTTTTTTTAGTTAAAAAAAACTCTACCCCAACTTGGAGAAGTGTAATCTCCTATAATTGATCTTGTGTGCAATTTCTTTATGGTTTTTGAGTATGTTATGGAACAAATAATATGCTCTTTTAAAATGATGAATGGGGCAAAATCTCATATTTTACAGGTCTTTTGCTTTTCTATGGCCTGGAACTGGAGGCATGCTGTGGACAAGTAACTATGCCCCCCTTTGATCTGTGGCCAAACCTCAGTGATAGAACATCTGCTTTTCATGCAGAAGGTCCCATGTTCAATCTCTGGAATCTCCAGTTCAATGGATCAGGTTGTAGGTGATGTCAAAGAACTCTGCATGTCAGAACAGACAAGTCTAGAGGAACCAATGGGCTGACTGAGTATAGGGCAGCTTCATGTGTTCATATGTCCAGGTGCGTATGGTAATAAAACACCACAGCTACTTCAAATACGACATTTTACCTTAAGAGTTTTTTAATATATGTAATGACAGCAAAATAGGCACTTGTATCATACATAGCTGATGAATGTGAACATTTTTATTCCTATAGCCCAAAACCATGGTTTATTGTAACTGAAAAACCAGGATTTACTGTGGAGATAATCATTCAATAGTGGTTTGCCGTGGCCTGGCAAATCCTGTTTTCAGAGCCTTCTCGCTTTCCCTTACCTTTCCATTGGCTGGTGGCACTGGGAGGGCAGGGAAGCCAGATCTTTGGTCACACTTAATATGACAAGCGGCCACAGATCCATGTTCCCCTTCTTCAGGTACCCATGAAGGAAACTCCCTAGCATTTCACATTAACAGTTTCTTGGCACCAAACCCAGGAAAGAAACTTCCCACATTTACTTCTTGGTGCTGAGGCAGTGAGCAGTGACTCACAAAAGCTCATACCCTGCCACAAATGTTGTCTTTAAGGTGCTACTGGACTCTTGCTCTTTTCTACTGCTACAGACAGACTAATGCGGCTACCCATCTTGATCCATTTACCCCCAACTCATCCAAAACCTCAAGGGCACAACAGTCAACCCTCTCCCCCCACAAAGATGGAACAGCAGGGAACATTGGAGGAGGGGGATGTGTGGAGGAGGCATCCTGTGTGCTTTCCCTCTCTCTCAAAATTCTAGGGTCACTGTCTCTTTGAAAAAAGAATGCAGTACTTGTGGCAATAATTTTGTTGATGGAACACAGGCAGTAATGTAAGCTAGGGATTCATTGGCATTGCTTTTTCTCTCCCTGTGCATGCATGTAAACAGTATATTGGCAGTCCTTTTGCCCTTTAAGAAGGTGAAAGAAGAGAGACTGGGCTGTTGTGAGGCATACTAGGAGTCAAGGGTAAAGTCAGAGTGAATAATAGCAGGAGGTGATGAAAAGTGAGAAGCTTCAGTTTCAATCCACTCTAGCCATGCATCTCTGTCACTAGGGAGTGCACAAAGCAGTGCCAGCAAGCAAGCCAGGTTTAAGATAGGATGTCCCATGTTTGTATGTCACTTGAAACCATAAATAAGATTATCTTCAGTTAATCCAAAACATCAGCCAGGCAATTGCCCGGGTGTGTGTGTGTGTGCTGGATACAGGGATAATATCACTCCTGTGCTGAATTATCTGTACTCTTGTTTCCAGACACAAGTGTTAATTCTTTTCTTTATATGGCTTAGGGCCTGGTTACCTGAAGGACCATCTCCTCCTGTGCTGTCCATTATGCTAGTTATATCTGTCTCCTAAGCTTTGCTATCTGTACCCCTGCCTGTAGGTGGGAGGAGACTAGAGACAGTTGCCTTTAGAATTCCTTTTCCCTTAAGGTTCACCTCTTTTTACTAAGCTTTCAACTAACGGGCTTTCTCCAGCTGTTTTAAAAATATTATTTAGGCTGCTCAGTTTTGTTTGAGGCCATTTTAATGCCTTTGGCTTGTTTTAATATTGGCAATAAGAGAACATAAGAGAAGCCAATGTTGGATCAGGCCAATGGCTCATCCAGTCCAACACTCTGTCACACAGTGGCCAAAAATACCAGGTGCCATCAGGAGGTCCACCAGTGGGGCCAGGACACTAGAAGCCCCCCCCCCAAGCACCAAGAACACAGTGCATCACTTACCCCAGACTAAGAGTTCCTATCTATACCTTGCGACTAACAGCCACTGATGGACTTCTGCTCCATATGTTTATCCAATTCCCTCTTGAAGCCATCCATGCTTGTAGCTGCCGCCATCTCCTGTGACAGTGAATTCCAGGTGTTAATCACTCTTTGGGTGAAGAAGTAATTCCTTTTATCTGTTCTAACCCGACTGTTCAGCAATTTCATTGAGTGCCCACGAGTTGTTGTATCGTGAGAAAGGGAGAAAAGTACTTCTTTTTCTACCTGCTCTATCCCATGCATAATCTTGTAAACCTCGATCATGTCACCCCTCAGTCATCGTTTCTCCAAGCTAAAGAGCCCCAAGCGTTTTAACCTTTCTTCATAGGGAAAGTGTTCCAACTATCATTCTAGTTGCCCTTTTCTGCACTTTTTCTATAATATCCTTTTTGAGGTGTGGTGACCAGAACTGTACACAGTATTCCAAATGAGGTCGCACCATCAATTTATACAGGGGCATTATGATACTGGCTGATTTGTTTTCAGTTCCCTTTCTAATAATCACCAGCATAGTGTTGGTCTTTTTTATTGCAGTCATACACTGTCTCGACATTTTCATTGAGTTATCTACTATGACTCCAAGATCTCTCTATTGGTCAGTCTCTGCCAATTCAGACCCCATCAACGTGTATTTATAGTAAGGATTTTAAATGTTGTTTCTATTATTTTATTGTTTTTAATTGAGAGCCGCCCTAACCAAATCTCTGGAAAAGTGGCGTATACATTTTCTTAATCAATTAACCCATCTTCAAACTAGTTTCAGATCCTGGTTTGAGATTTCCTAACTAACCATAGTTGGTGGTTGGCTGTGTTTGGATGATTAACAGTCAGCCCATACCCATAGGTATGAACTGAGCCATTATCCTACAAAAGATATGATTTATTATTGTTATAAAACCATTGGCAAAATCAATCATTGCTACATTTGGCAAGATCTTTGAATTAGCTTCAATTACAGCACAGTCTTTTCTTTTTCACCCAGTTTGAAATCCATACCTTGTTCTAAATAAAAACCACTTCTTAATAATTCTATTAAATACCTTCATGGAAACACTTGCAAGGAAGGAA